AGGTCAAATTCAGGACCGGGGACATAGGCCTTCGAGAACGTCGACGAAGACATAGGACGGTAGACGAGGAAGACGACGAGTTCAAATGTGATTGCGGCTTCGAATGCGAAGACCGTGTTCATGTAGTCGCGGAATGTCCGTTGTACAATAAGGAGAGGGAAGTGTACGTGACTGAGCTGGGAAAAATAGATGGAACGTACAGGGAGATGTTTGAGGCATGGAATAGAGAGGAAAGGACGGTAGCTGTAGTGGGGCATAGGAGGTGGGTTGAAAAGGCGGGAAGGGATATCGTTCGGATAGACAGACTAGGGAAGACATTTTTGAGCCACCTTTGGCAAAGTAGAAAGTAACGATTGGCCATCGGTGATCGGTCCTGTGGGAAGAATGCTCCGTCCTCTCGAGGACGCGTGGTCAATGGTCTAACCGCTAAGGCATGCAAGACATAAGGGTACGCCTCCCCCCCCCGCCCCCCCCACCCGCGCGACTGACCATCGGTCATTGGTCCTGTGGGAACAATGCTCTGTCCTCTACATGACCCGTGGTCAATGGTCTAAAAACTGCAACATACAAAACATTTGAGCAAGCCCCTCCCCCGCCCGCGTGCCTGACCCCCACGGAAATACCGATCCTGCACTGAAACAAAAAAATCAGGCTTCGGCGTGGGGAGCCTGATGCGAGCAGTCATCAAGGCGCGGGAGCGGTGGCGAGCTCGCGTACCGACGGCCGTCCTGAACCGCTGGCTCCGCAAGATTGTTTTCTTGCACCCGCCCCCCCGCGACAGCACAACGGGCGGCGCCTGCTCCCTCAAGTACCTCACCCAGGTCAAGAGGGGGCCGCCGGAGTTCAGGGTGTTCGTGAACCATCTCTCGATCCCGGCGGATTACCAACGGTGAGAGATGCTTGTTTGTTTTCTTGGGAGTGTGGGGTAGCGCGATTGAGGGCAATCTTTCTTTGCGTGAAGAGTCAACTCTTGTGGTTGTGGTCCGCAGGGTTGGAGACGAACCTTCGCTATAGTAACTCGAAACTCGTACAAAGGACGCAGAAGGGGCGTGTGTTTTCCGTGGATATGTTTTCCAGCAGGACGGGGGTTTTCTTGGGGGCTTTTGGGCAAGGCTACCACCGGCGTACACCGTGATGACGGAAATGTCTCGCTGCCACGACAAACAAATAGCCTTGTCGTGATCACGAGTTGTCATGCCATAAGTCCATGTAGTGTTGCTGGGTTATGACGCACACGTATGCATACGAGGTTTTTATTGGCTGGCTGGGGATCGTTCTGACTTTTCCCCGGGAATCAACCCGAAGAGTAACTTTTTTTTTGCGGATGGACGTCCTTCTCGTTTCCTCCCCGGCCGGCAACTACAGATACATCACCAAAAACTTGCAGAAGGAGTTCGGGTTCCACGGCATGCAGGTCCGCCTGTCCCTCAAGAAGTCCGTCAACGTCTACGACCCGGAGGGGAGGGGCGGCTCCGGCAAGGGCCGGCCTAGGCGCAAGTTCGGCAAGAAAGGAAGGCTGCTCCCTCTGCCCCCTTCCCCAACACGCTACCGACCAGGCTCGCACAAATGAGCGTGTGTCAGATCAGATCAACCGACGACACTGTTAGGTTGTGGTGCCACCGAGCTCGTGTTTTCTTTGGTTCTTCCTGGATGGCGGCGTGAGTGCGTCCGCATACCATGTGTATCAGCGCTCACACGAGCCTTGCCAAAAAGTGCGGATGACACCCATCCCACCGGAGAGGGCGCGTAGAATTTGGTTTGACGGGGTTTGCGGGTGCAGATAGACGCGAACCCTTCGGGGAGCGCACTACGCGAGTCGCGACGGTGCAACGAGGCTACAATATCGTCACCGATCGCCCTGCGCATAATCGCTAGTCGGGTTTGCTGGAGGGGGGGTTGCGGTGTAGATGCTGGTGTTTAATCGATTTTCAGCGCCCACCATGGTTCGCACGAAGTGAGGAAAGTCTCGGTTGGGGCACTTTGGACATGATGATGCAGACGTCAATCGCTGTTTCCTGTTCGGTTCCCATCGACCCGTCGACTAGCGTGGGGGACGGTAGCACTCTGAATATCAACAGCTGACCTACCCCAGGCATCCCTCCAACAGCCGTTTCTAGCCGCGCGGAGTCGCCATTCTTCCAAGATTGTGTGAATAGTACAGTAAACAACGATTATTCAGCGAGTGTGGCGAGGTCGTGCTGATTCCGAGTTTGCAGTGCACAAAGTGACAACGAATACCACGACGGGAAAGTCTGTTACGATTCCGGGCTGCCAATGAACGCGCACGCACGTCTGCGTGTGCGACGCGGGCGGACTTCCCCGCACCCAGCGTGTGCGCTGCTCTTGCGGGGGCTTCGGCCGGTCTCTAACGGTTAAGCCCCTTTGGGCGAGCACACCCACACCCAAATATTTCGGGTTACGAGTGGTGTGAGCCATAGACGCGTTACGAAGCAATGGCATGGACACCTTTTGCGCGTTGCAGGAGGTTGGCAGCGGAGAGGTGCGAAAACATTAATTCAAACTGTAAATCAGGGCTCCGGGTGGTGGTGTATGCATGGTGTGGGGGTGGTTGGCTTGCGAACCCCGGATTCCCGGGCCTACAGGAAATGCCGCCCTTCCGTTCAAGACGAACGGCGATAAATAGACCGAGTCTGGCGGCATGGGGTGGGATGTTCCTCGGTATTTCCGTGTGTTCTCGAGTTGGCATAACCGTGTTTTGCGAGGTTGCGCTCTCGATTATGGTGACGAGTGTTTGTAAAGATCTACCTAATTGTCCTGAGGGTCCTAAAAGAGTACGTGGTACTCCAAATAGGAGAAACAGGGGGCAAGGCAGTACTCTTTAGTCACCGTCTGCCGGCAGCGACGAAACGTTGCGTCGTCAAACAACGAACGGAGCAACACGCGAGACAGACGCGTCGCATCCACCTCCTACCACAATCATAGCACAGCAGAATGAATCGAGTGGTGGTGCGATAGAGAGGAAAGCAACCATGAGCGAAACGTCTCGTGTTTCCCAGTCTGGCGGAGGACAAGATTACTATGCACATGGTTCAGATATGATTACTCTATTCCGTCCTTTCTCTTACCCGACACACTTGTCCATGCTGCATGCAGGTCTTTCAAAGACTTCAGCATGGTTTCCTGTCCGTGAGGCCCCCTCTCCTTCCTCTTGCATTGCACGCCTTCAATGTTGTTGTGAGGAAACGGTTGAGCAGCCCTCTTGCCATCGTCAACAACCCTATCGAGCTCTTTCTCCTTTATTCCAACAAACCAGCGTCTAGCATGTCAACTTCAAATACGCTCCAAGAGGCATTCCTGAGTTTGAACCCACCCACAACTGGAAAATCTCGATGTTGTCGAGGATACCGTGAATCGGCACTATGTACCAGGAGGGGGGAGTATAGTGCCAGGCAAACGTAAGACACAGGCGCGAATGGACGCGCACCACCTTCTTATAACATGAAGAACGGCTAGTGCAGCTGCTCACGGTCATTCCCCTGGCTCGCTGTGCCGCCACAATATTGCCTCGCTGCCCCCCCCCTCAAAAACATGGCAAACAAGCGCCTTTGTTGCCGCAGAAACGCCCCATTTGTGACAAGGGAGCCAAACATGTACATCGATCGGAAATGACGACATGACACACAAATACAAGCGAGGCATTCTGAAACTTTCATTGTCTATACATCATCTTCGAGGTACGTTCTAAACCTCTCTAAAAAAACACAGAATAGAACGGAAATACTCGTTGAAACGGTTGCACTGGACGTCACACGAAGACGTTGGCAGCACCGCGCGAGAAGAATTATGCTTTCTGAGCAATCGAAACCTCCTTTCAATACAGGATGTGCCCTACCATACCACGTAGTAAATAACCATTGTTCAACATAGGATACACTGTCAAGGCTTCCTCACGTATATTGAAGTTAACAGCTCAACGGCAGAGTTACCACATTTTGCCCCTGGGCTGGCGGGGGCGTGGCGTGTGGACGCTTTTTGCGTCTCTCTGATTGGGCAAAAACGAAACTGATGATCCGCGTCACAACCGCTCCCTTTTTCTTTCATTTTTGCTTGAAACTTCGAAGGTTGCGTCCAGATGGTCGGTCTTCATATCCAAGACCGGAACAAGCAAGTGTTATGTTTGTCCCGGCGGTGCACGATCGGTGGCCGGCGACTCATCGCCCCTGTCGTGCAATATGGCACATCGGTTGCCCGCCGGAATTCGGGGGTGCGGAGGGGCCCTGGTGTCGCCGCCCAGGAGTTCTCCCACCCACCATGCGGTGAGTTGTTGCGGCTTGAATCCGCGGCGACCATGAAAGACACCGAAGGTGAGCAAGGAACACTATCTAGCTGCGTTGGCCATGTCTCAAGGTCCGATTGCTGCTGTCGGTTTTGATGCCGCTGTGCCCGAGTTGACTGGTGATGGTACTCGGGGTTTGCACAGAGGCGCCCCATGGGGGGTAGGGTTGGTTGCTGACGTAGGTGTTGGTGGCTGAGTCCGGGACGTGCTCGGACGAGGCGTGAGAGGCTGCCGCCGGGCTCTTGGGGCGTTTCTGGGACCCGTACTTCTTGGCCTTCTTCTCCATGTGTTGGTCGTGGATCGCCTAATTTCGTTGTCGCGAGCAACATGGGACGGGGTAGGAAGTGCGTATGGCTTGAAAGGTGATACGAGCTTTCTCTATGCCCTTGCCATTGGGAGGTTGACGAAAAAACTCACTTCACTACTTCCTGGGTGGGTAGACTCCTGTTGACTCGTGGTGCACCTTTCGGAAAGTGTTGGTCGGATGGAAAGGGCACCGCGAAAAGTAACTTCGGTGACGTGTTGTTTTGTTATTGTAGACTCACCTCTTTCATGACCAAAATGGATGGGTGCTCGTTGAGCATCCTAAACACCGAGCCAACCCGCTTGTGCTGGCAGGCAAAACTGTCGCTCAGTCCGAAGCTCTCCTTGTATCTGGCAAACATCACACATTGAAAGATCGAAAACGTAACGGTAGAAATCCGCGAATATCGGTGCAAGGCTGGAAGGGGAGGCGTACGGTTGGGTTGAGGGATGGCGTTTGTTGCTGATACCATGTGTTGAGCTGTTGTTACGCTTCCCTGCATGTTCTCCTGTTCCTTCATCGAACGTTGCAACCGTTGCAGCGACGCCCCTCTGTTCGGATCGCTTCGGATTGAAGCAGACCACCGAAGGGCATCTAGACTATATAGTAATTGACGCACAATTGCCACTACTAGTGGTGGGAACCAACAAACCTACGACACGATCCCGAACACTTGGGTTAGGGTTACATCGCCCCGGTGGTCTAGTGGGTAGCCTCGCAGCCTGCTAAGGGCCAGGTCATGGGTTCGAGTCCCGGCAGAGAGAGTTTTATTCTCACTAAATAAATCCTGGTCTAGGATGAAAGCGACGCGCTGCAAAGCTCGTTTGTTAGTAAACCATAATCGACTTCGTAAGTCGCGAGGGAAGGGATTGCTGTACCCTTCTCGCGATAAAAATACCTCAGGCATGAACCGCAGGAGGGGGTCCAACCCCCCCCTCCTATGTGACCCCGGTTGGGTCGTCTAGCCAGTAGAAGTGGAGGATAGGGGCCAGAGGGGCAGACGACAGAGTCCAATGATGGGAGAACAACAAACAAACAACAAAAACTTGCTCTAAATCAGATTGACGGAGAGAAGAAGTAAAACAAAAACCACAACAACGAGTGCAAGCACCTGAAACCGCATTCATTCCCTCTATTATTGAGGACGACAAAACACCGACCTGCAGTTTGTTTGCATATCTCACTTGGGGTTGAGGAGAATGTTGTAGCTAGGCAGGCCGCGCATGATGCCCCGCACCACTGCCCTCGAGTAAGTGACGGACACGGTGTTGCATAGGCTCTCCAGCTGGCAAGGTAGAAAATGTTCGATGCAACACAATAGACAGAGCACAAGAGAAATCATGTTGTTGGCAGTGGCCTCCTCTCCGGCTGGCACGAGGCAATAAAGGCACAGCAAAATAGAGACTAATCGGAGTTGGCATTTGTCTCTCCTCTAGCCAACGAACAGATGGAAAACCAACACAGCATACCACCAGCTAGGCGCCGTGGGTAAAAAAGGAAGAGAGGAGACGGTATTGGTCGGTGGCCGAAAAACCAGGTTGTCCAATGATTCCTTCGGACCCCATCCAGTCGGTGTACAGTAGTGGTTGGCATCCTCGGAGACCTTTGAAGAGGTGCGGTTTGTGTATCTCTTTACGACGGAAACTTGCACTTGTTCAGCAGCTACGAGGAAAGAGCGCTTGTGTGGGATGCTATACGGTGCGTAGAAACCGCAGGCACGGACACCGCCGGGATGAGGGAGAAAATTCATACGAAACACACATCTATGTTGCTTAGACCACCCAGAAAGCTTGATATGAGAGTCTCGAAGGCTACTCGTGCAAAAGGGCGCTTAGATCATGGGGGTTAAATATGGTCAAAGTACCGTACGAGGCGGAGAGATGGCACCCTCCCCAGAGCGACTTTCAAAGCTCCATTGCTCCACAACCAAGATTATTGTCTGTACCGTACCGTACCGTATACCGTACCGTGGTATTTCGTAAGAGGCGGAGAGATGCCACCCCCCCTAGAGCGACTTTCAAAGCTCCATCGCTCCACAACGAAGCTTGTGGCAACACCAAGAATGCTTGTTTTGGAAACATATCGTCCAGGACTTTCCATAGACGTGTCGGGCTCTTTCCGCACCCCCTTGCGTCTGGAGCAATCGAGTTATGAAAGTCGCTCTAGGAGGGGTGCCATCCCTCCGCCTCTTTCGGTAGACAACCTACTCGTAAGCACCTTTCGAGGTTAAATCAAACTAGCTACAGGTGACGACACAGACACCTGGAACAAATACTGGCGACCACAAACTTGAGATAGGCGTGCTTGACGATTGCAGAGCAATAGCTGTTGAGGAGTAGTCAAAACAATTCGTAATACTAGGTACATGAGGGGACTTGCGTTCTAATCCACACATACCGTAGGTAATATTGTCGCATGGATCCCTCCCTCCTGGTACCATAGTTACTTCCCGGCAAGATACGGAACAAACTATCTAGATTCTTTACGCCCTTGTTATGATGTCTATCTTCGTCGTCGTAGACACCTTCTTCGTGCAAGATGACTACATTTCGGTGGCTCTGGTCAAGATATCTCTAGACCACATTCTGCATGTAGAACTCAATACTACATGGCTCCAAAAAGATACGTGTTGTACCTTTTAGGGGGCAGTAAATGTACCTCTTCGCTGTGTTTCAACCGCTTGTCGTACCCTCTTGGTTGGTAGTGCATTTTCCTTCTTGTGGATCAATGTCAACTGCACCTTTTTGGATGCCAGTTTGCCTTTGCACGTCAAGATCGCCGCAACCCTGCCGCAGAAGTTAAGGACGGTATTCCCCAGCCAGTGCTCGAAGATGAGAGCAGTCAGGATGCAGAACGGGACCAGCAGTGGCTGTACTGCCTGTCGAATCACAAAACGGTCGTGTAAGGCTTCGCCATTCTCGCATCAACAGCCAACAATTGATAATTAATAGCACCTTCCAGCAAAATATAACGTTGGAGTTCCTAACCACTCTACGAGCTTAGACTATGTGTTTAGTCTATTGGCGAAACACACACGCGGAAAGCAAAAAATGGGCGTCAACAGAATGCGCGTGGAAAACAAAGAACACACAAAAAGACGGAGGACTCAGACGCCAAACGCACGGGGTACTACGACAGCGGTTGGACCCCACCTGTAGCACGGCTATCGCAGTGCTTCAAATTTCCTTTATCTGCCTTTCTTTGGGGAGCGTTTCGCTACTCGTGCATACCCTATGGGTAAGAAGGTAACAAAGACGTATATCACCTGGCATTGATGTTATATGGCACACGCCTGGGCTGTAGCAGCTTTTTTCGACCCATGTATGAGGTGTTTTGTAGGAGCAACAACAACGACAACAACAACAAGCACCTTTACTTCTAGCTTGTCAATAATGTTGAAGGTGTCTGACGCATCCGTCTCCGTTGGGAAGATGGTCCCGTTGCCGTACATGTAGAAGGCGAACACCACGTGTATCCACAGGCAGTATGGAATCAGGCTGCGCCATTCAGAAAGAGGGTGGTTTTACGGAGAAATCAAGCAAGGAGGGGGTGGTGTAGTCAGCAGGTGCACAGGTATAAATAATTTAGAGTCCACACGAAGAGCCATGTAGCCATCTGCGTGAGTGACAGTCGGGAGGGCAGGAGGGCCGCTTCCTTCTGCAAAGTTGTCTTATCGCAGTGCTGTTCTTAGGTGCGCGGGGTGGAGCCCGAGCTCATAGAGCCAAACCCGCTACCAAGCAGCTGCGGGCGTATGGAACAGACGTACTTTCGTTCAAAGTTGGAGGCCCCTCTGAACAAGTGGTCAGTTCTCCAGCACTTGTCTCACGACCTCTCGTTTTGGTTTGCGGCAACGTGGGGCAAAACTAGCGACAAGCGCAAGGCTTCAACGAATTTCAGAGTTCTTTCATCCGACTTCTTTCACCAGAAACGATTGGTTTATCGATAAAAACGAAGCCTTTTGGATATTGTTTTCCTGTGTTTTCGCTCGAGAGCTTACCCCAGGGAACAATACATTGATGCCACTCTAGAGGGAGAGGTAGGAAAGGAAGTGGGCAAGGGTGAAGTCGGTGGCAGATAAAGAAATGTTAGTCACAGGGGAGAACTGTCGCGACGAAGTGCGGCCCTTGAACCTCCACGGCCACCAGAACGCTAGAGATCGACAATCCTCCTCCGATAAGGCACAACACACATTCAGAAAGTCCCACAAAAGAAACGTAGAAATGGTATATTCAGATACTGGTTCGACGGGCCGCTGTCTCACCTTACAACCTCATTGGTAAGCTTGCCGGAGTACTGTGGGGGTGTGACGTAGAAGTTAACGAAAAGCGCCTTCTCCACCCAGAAGAAGAGCACGAAAGAAAGCGTCCCGATGGGCAGCAGGATGGGGATGCCCGCAGAGTAGGCCAGGCACACGGCGAAAATCACCGTGATCTCGGCATACCGCACTGAGACCTGTCGAAAGAACAAAACAGACGAATCGTTGGAAAAAAAACTCAGCAAGTGCCACCACTCCGTAAGCAACACATGGGATAATGGTTGCCTGAGCAGGTAGTTAGGACCAGTCTTGGGAGGAGGCGAGAGTACGAGTGTTTGGTCTCCCTCACGAAGACGCCATTTCGCAAGCAACACATGAAATAGTCGTTGCTTGAGCAGGTGGTTCGGACCAGTCTTAAGAGGAGGTGGAAGTACGAGTGTTCGGTTTCCCTCGCGAACACGCCTCTCGGAGGTTTCGTCGCGCTAACATGAAGAGGGTTGGCGCTGTGACAGATCCGCTCACGACCCCGAAAAGACACTTAGGAGCGCCTCTTCTGTGTACCAACTCCCTAGAACCCGTGTACGACGCCCCAACCCTCGACGTATGTACCCATGCGACAGCTCGAGGACGTCGCAATCAAATCGTTCTCTGCAAGCATCACCAAACGCCACGCGTCAAGCCCAGCCCATAGCCCTAGCTCTACGTCACCAGGGATGCCCTCAAAGTTCACGAATGAGCACGATACCTCCAAACCGTCAAGGTATCTCATTGAACCCAAACCTGTCCTCAATCGTTACACACTCCTCAATCGGCACCGCCCTGTGAGGGTAGAACAGGTGCCTACCTCCCAGCGAAGACCCTTGGTGAGGTTGTTGAGGGCCTCCTGACTAATAGCCCTGCCTCGGTGGTGTTTCCACTTCCACGATTTGATGCCCCACATAACCAACCAGTACAGGTGAGGGGTAACCGCGTTCAGGAGGACGTTCATCACGAGGCTGCTTCCCAGCGTGCGGTACCTGGTGTTGGAATCGTATGTTGTTGTTGATTATTTTTTCCCTAAAGATCAGGGGTAGCACAAGCCGGAGGTTCCGCGAACTGTGCTTGAATCGTCCAACTATGAGCAAGAGTCTGTCGTTGTCGTTATCGTACATAACCCTGGAGAAAGTCACGTCAACTTGTGGAGGTGAAACAGTGAAGTGACAAACGGGTGACCTATCTCTACTCCGTCTTCGTTGTCAAGGACATAGTGCCCCCCCGCCCCTAGACTTGTTTCCCCCCCTATTGCACCCCTTCATTTATCGTTCATCCCCATCCATCTAGACCGACCGATTCCCCCCAACAATGTGCTGAACCCCCGCTCCCTCTCCTGGCCCCTTCCTTTAGATACGACCTCCCCCATACACACCCTCCTTTTTTCCTGGCTCGCTCACCATTCGGACGTGAAATCTTCTTCGTATTCGAGGTTAACTCCTAAGACATCGATGACCCTGCGGCTGTTGGTGACCAGGACAGTCAGGCCGATGTTGACAAATTTGAGCAGCACCAGCCGTCTGTAGACAGCCACCTTCCAAGGGAATGCACAGCGTAACATTACAGTCCTTAATAGCCCACCGGTTTTGTAATTCCTGAACCTCCGCTGATTCATGTGTCGAACCCTTTATGTGCACGTTGCTGAACAAAGTGAATCAAGCAACATATTTATTTCTCAAGTAGCTTCTGGCGGTTGACAAGTCTTAGGTAGCACAAACCGTCGGTTGATTGATTGCCGGGGTAGGGCGAATCGCACATAAACAAAACCACCAACATCATGCAGCATCAGTATCAGCATCAGCATCAGCATCAGCATCAGCATAAAGAAAGCTACAACAGGACGTTTACGCCGAGGGTCCTCGGAGTCCGATTAAACTTTATCGCGAGGGATGTAGGAAGGGGAGGGAGTGTTTTACGTCATTTCCTTCGTCTGCGCCTACCTCTTGCTTGTCCACGCTCAGGTGCTTCTCGAAGGCCCCCATCATCCTGGTAATTTTGTTGATCGCGGCATTGGTGAAGGCGACCATGAACGACGTCCCCAGAACAAGCCAGGTTGCCTGGACCTTCGCCTACAAACATAGAATACCAAACGGAACCGAAATCGAAAGGGAGGTAATGTACCAGGAAAGGAACAAGGCTGCGGTGTGGAACCTTTATGCGTGTGTGAATAGCGACAACAACAAGCACGGAGTTAAAGGGGAGTGTCTGTCAGCTATATTTATTTGTATACGGCAACACGGTACCGGGGAGATGTTGAGTGTTTCTCCAGCTGGAAGACAAATTGTGGCCGAGGTTGTCGGGTCATCTGATTCAGTCTATTCGTCCAACGTTGAGAACAGTGTCTTTGTCCTTACATCCGCAATCCACTGCTACAACACCGTCAGCATCCGGCGACAACAGCAACAACCGCCACCACAACCTACGATAACAACAACAACGTCCACAGGAGCACGAGAGAAATAAACCTACCCAGGCGTACTCGTAGCAGACGTCATTGGGGCTGAGCGTCCATGCCGAACCATCACCACCGTCGCAGAGGCAGTGCAAGATAGTTTCGTCCTCCGCAACCGCATCTTCTTGTTCCCACCTAGACAGTGCATCCCAACCATTGGGACACTCCGCGGTGCCCCCCTTTGTGCCATCAGTGCACGAAGCAACGTATTATCAGGAGTTATTATCAGGAGGAAGTAGCGCAAGCTGTGAGTCGTCGTTTGTTGGCGGGGGGGGGGGTGTGCTTGGAAACACCACAACCTTTTTCGAATTCGTTGGGGGGATTGTATATTAACGAGTGTCTTGCTCCGGGACCGTGTGTCTCGTTGGGCCGGCCCAGGTGCTGTAATGACACCGTGCTCGTACTCGGTTTGCACTCGGCATTGTCAACGTAGCTCGCAGGAAAAGCAGGCATAGTTGGGGCCTGGTTGTGAGCACAGAGGCCCAGAATGAAAGGGAGTCTGTTCGACGCCGGTAATCAAGCTGATGGGCACCATCCACACCAAACGCCAGGGGCCGCCCTGTCCTTGACACGCTTACTATACTCACAGGCGGTGTGCCATGCGCTAGGTAGAGGTTCAGGGTACGAGGAACGGGGGTTCAGTGTCACTTTATGCTTTGTTAGTGGCCACAAAAACATGGTACATGTTGCGGACAACGACAAAAGCAACAGAACACCGAAGACGATAGCAAAACCTCACGCTGTAGTACAAAAACCTGACAAGAAGAGGAGTACCAAACTCGTCCTACCTCGCTCTCGGCCTGCTGGTTCTGGTAGAGGGCGTAGATAGACATGCCGACGGACAAAGTGATAAAGCTCGTCCCAATGAGCAAGGTCGCTGTGCGCCGCGTCCACAGCTCGCACCTTCGGAACGTTCAACGTCAAATGACATGATAACCGAAACGGACAAAAAAAAGGCCAATCTGAGTGTCCACCAAGCAGACGACCGTAATGTTCTTGTTGCTTTTTTTCTTTTTTGGTCTTCACTTCAATCAGCGCTCACAGCACTTGTGCCGTTTACTCCAACCCGTGGTCACACGGAAGAGCCCCTCTCTACCCTCCCCTCCTGCGGTACTTTGCCTTCGATTTTTAGTGGGAGAGGAGTTCAGCACTCTCTTCCTTCTGTGTACACACGAACTAGCGCTATCCACTAGGCCAGGAGCGGAAGCGAGAGAAAAACTCACTTTGCAAGAAAAGCTCGCTTACTTACGCCGGGATTCGAACCCCTAACCTGACCTCTAAAAGGTTTCGGGGATACCACCTAGACCACCGAGGAATGCTTGTTAGCAGGGGTTGATTGGTGCGAAGAGGGGAACGTCACCGCGAGGTCTGTTTGAACTCTATCGTGAACCGCAGATCGTACCCGAAGATATGGATCAGTTGAAGACGTTCGTGTAGATCCGGCGAACTCAAACCTTGAATACACGCCAAGACCGGGAAAAAAGGAAAAAATGCTCAAACATCACAAGAAAAACATGGAGGTGTGTTGAAAGAGGGAATCAGTCGTCGTCGACAGATGTTGGGCAGATGAGACGCATGTTTCAGGCCATCCCCACCTGCCCCCACCCCCATATTTGAGCCTTCTGTTTGTTTGCTAGACCGGCAGGCTTCTAGAAGTAACGGAACCCGGCAATTTTCAAGGTCGTCTCTTCAAACGCTTGAAACACGTCAAATTACGTCGATCAAAAGAACTGGTCTGTCTTGGGATTGACTACTCTATGTGGACCGGACAAAGGTACTCCTTTCCCAGGACGAGCGATTCGAAGGAAACAAGAACAAATGGCGCTTCAACGATCTGTCGTCGAATTACTTCGACAGCAGCAGCTTCGTGGTTTAGCACGTGTTGTTCTATTGGTACCGTGTAGTTGGCTTCCGGGACTCATCGTACCTCCGGTAACCGTAGTTCTCCCACAAGATCGTCGACGGCTCGGGCGCCCCCTCAACGCTGATGCGCTTGCCTTTAAGCTTCATCTTCGCTTTGACGCACAGTCGCGTGACCCAGCTGCCACTGTAGGCAACCTTCCAGTTTCCATCAAAATAGCAAAGCAACACTACCGGGTTTGAGATGCGGGTTCTTGCTCATTCATTTCCCGTCCCTCTCGCCCTCCTTCCCTCAATACTCATTACCCTAACTCAGACGCGATATTCACATCGCAACAAACTCCACCAAATATGTATCGCAAACGAAAAGATTCCGACATGACCACAATGTAGTAGATGTTACCTTCTAGCTTTTAGGACCGCCAGCCACCTCATGGGCGTATGAAGCTAGGCCATGGCTGGATAAATAAGTGTGAAAAAAAACGGCAAGAACGTCTGATCTCTTACCCTAGCTTCTACAGCCGCCATCTCATCGTCGAAGGTCACATAGGCAGCCACTGCCTTGTTGGTCATCATGACGGCCATCTTGGCCTCCGCCGCGAAGTGTATGATTTTCCGGCTAGCTTTAGAACGCTTCTCCTGGAGCTGGCGGATCTGCGGTAACAGGAACAGTTTCGTGTACGTGCACGCGTTCGTCTGTGGAGTTTCTAGTTACCATGGGTCGGATTTGCTGGCCTTTCCCGTCTTCCTTCTGGAAAGCGTAGGCGTCCGAACGCTGGCAATGTTGCTGATGTGGGGAAGCATCACTTTGGTGTTCTGTAGAAGTGCATATCTGACATGTTTGTTTTTCTTTCTTACTGCTCTACAGTAGTGTTGAACCTCGTCATTTGCATCCACTGGAAGGACTTGGCAGACCCTTGTTCTTTTCCTTGCAGCCACAATTTCATGAGCTCTTGTGTAGAGCAGGGAAACAAGTTTTCTTTGAAAGTGCTTTCTTTGTCAATTTCGGTTCTCGTTCGCCAACACATACGGACCATACAATGTACGACATAGCGGGCTTTGGTGTAGATTTAGGTGTTTGTGTGTTTCCTCGCCTTGCGTTCCCTGAAGAATCGCTCGATACACCCTTCTTTCCTCACAGGCCGGGCATTCTTGGGCCTCTTGCCACCGTCTTCGCTCGCACCTGGCATCCACGCATCAGGCGGAATGTGAAAAGAAACGAACCCATATCGCGGTTGGGGCAGAGATACTTGATCGAAGCGCATCGAGGTACAACCAAATTGGCACAAGCTCAAGTCACGTAGCAGACTAGGGCGGATACCAACAGCCTCCTTCGCCAAACTATTGGTGGCGGCAGCTGAAAATAGCTGTCTGGCGCATCCATCAGTAGGTTGCATGCTAGTTGGTCAACATCAGTCAGGGAATCAACGAACGAGCACGCCTGTCCACCCAATCGCCCACGGACGTCGACATAGACTATACCTCGATACGAGGCGAGATTGCTGAAGAGGGCCAACAACGGCTCCATGACTACGCGCTTGAGGGAGTGTTTTTAAAACGCGGGGGGGGGGCCTACCTACTTCACTGCCTCTCCCCCAGAGCCGGCGTTCGTCGGGGTTATACAGAAGCTCGTGTTGCGTTGCGTGTGAGATCATCACTTCTGCACTACGACTTGATTCTCCTCCTCCAGCACACGGCACCAATCACCTACCACCGTCATATATGTCAGCTATCGTGGCTCTTCGCTTCTCGTGGACTCGCTGTACTCACCAGATCGAGCTTCCTCCATCTTGTGAGCCCGGTCTTCGCGTGCATGGGCCTTGGTCTTGATGTAGCGGATCAAGTCGCGTGTGGCGGCACGCTCGTGGTAAAGCTTGCCGGACTTAGAGTAGAGCTCGATGCCTTTCCGGTTGTCCCGGGCAATGGCCACCTTCGAACCAACAATGGTTGGGTTGAAACGCACACAGCCGTAGTGTGGTCCTTGAACGTTGGGAAAATATCTATTCTGTAGGTACAGCGATCAGATGTTCGAAAGACGATGGCTGGATACTTGCACCAACATCGTTCGCCTAGGCTACAGTTACTCAGTCGTCCGTGCGGCGACGCGAAGATCGACTCGTGCTCACACCCTACAAGTAGGCTACCTCCTATAAAAAGAACGGAGACGTTATCGCTACAAAGGCGTTCAACACGCCTAGCACCAACCGTATGTTCGCTTCGCCGACCAACACACATCGTAAACGTTCCTCACCTCAACAACTTTCCTATCAAGCAGGTTGCTGAAGTGCTCCGAGATCTCTTCCTCCGTGATGTCTGGGGGCACACCCAATACCTTGACCGTAAAGTCTGTCGCCACCGCCAAAAAAAGGAGGACAGGAGCCAAGCGTCAAGGTTCGCCGGGGCAACGCGTGTTGGATGGGAGAAGGGGAAAGTTGTAACGGGTGCTTCTTCTTCTCCATGAGCATTGCGATGCTACATTGTTTTCCAAGCCCTTGTTGGCATGGCCTTGTTCTTCATTGTGGCATCCGAGATACTTTAATATTTCGACGTGTCGATCTTCTCCGCGACCGCCGACTGCGCTGTTCGATAACCTCATTCGAAGCTATCCATCGCCGACCAGTGTGAAAGGTATCAAATATGGTATGCCGCAACCCACGAGAATCCCCACCATCGCATCCGATCCTCGGCATACTACTGTAGCTGGCACAGCAGTCGAACTCGTTCTCGATGGGCGAAAATGGTGATGAAGAAGTAAACACGTACTCACCGCCGAATCCCCCGAAACGGCACGGGGGACGCCCATGTAAAGCAACCACCGGACCAATCCTTGCACTTACCACAGCTGCCTTTCGACTCCTGCCATTAGAACTTCTTCACGCCACGACACCTTTACAATCAAACCCGTTAAAAAAATTATTTTCCTAATCCTTCCTTTGCTTTTACCTCCGGCTGTGACTGTGGTCTTCTTGATCGACTCGAACTCATCCCTGATGAAGGAATTCACCCAAAAATATCCCACGAGGAAGAACATGGTGATCAGGGCGTCGATGCACCCGTAGTACAAGCCCAGGGTGTCGAGCTCGATGAGGCATGTACTGTACTGCTCCACGTCGCAAAACGGCAACACGGCCTGTGACGAGACCGTCCGTGAAAAAATGACGGGGTTAGAGCCGACACGAATGGCAACATCGCCTTGCTGTCGAGAAGAGCTACAGCACCAATCAACTACGAACCACAACTGCAACACACAACGACAGTGGCTACAAAGCGCGACAACCTCACCATGTTTGAAGAGTTGTAACCCCCGCCGATGTTTCCCACCGTCGTCCGCGACATCCTGTCCGTGTTGGTCGTGAAGGTCGTTATGGCGTCTCCGTTGGTGTTGATAGAAAGGTGCGGCAGGACGCACAAGGACACCACCAGGAACGACCACGAGAAGAACTTGAGCAGCTTGAAGTACGACGTCACGCCCGCCCCGAAGGGCGCGAACTGGCTCATTTTGCCCTGGTTTTGTCGTTCACGATGCAGGGGTATAGCGCGTTATCGGGTGGGGCTAGGGTAGTGAATGGGGTGCTCGAATGGTGGATGTGGGTGCCGTGTGTTCGGATACGAAAGAACGGCAGCGGTAAGCAGCGGAACGCCATGGCATGCCAAGAGCCATCGAGCAGGCCAAGGAGCGGTGCAAGTGCGCAGGAAAATAGAGGCAAAGAGTACTAGGTAGACAGGAAAGAACGACGCAGCGGAGGGTGATGTACCACTGTCACGTTCGTCATTGCTGATACCGTTACGACGGGTAAGTCGTTTGTTGTCCAACCTGCACTCGATAAGTGTACATAGAGGAGAAAGGAAATCAGCTCAAGAGCAACACACCGCAACCCGCGTCAAGACACACAGACTACAATGCCATCGGGCCATACCCGGCTATGCATGCGTCGACACAAAGAGCACAACACCACGACCAAGAGTCAACGTCGAGAGGTCACATCGAATGAACGCCAAGGAGAACAACTCGTTGTCAACCACTGAGAGACACAAAGGAGTCCTTCTTCTCACCTCATCCCAGAGGTCCAGCTGCTCCCCGCAACCCCCAAGAAAGCAATACCGCCCCATCGCAGCTTTCCGGGCGTCGAACTTTCCCCCCCCGGGGTGCCTGAGGTGCAGCTCGTCCTCGAAATTCTTGGCCTCCTCCATGGACGGTGGCTCCCACGGCGTGTCTTCGGAGATGCGACCGCGAGCTGCCGCGTTCATGACCCCCCTTGGGGAATGCAAGGGGTTCGATTTGACGTGGCCGTCTGGAACTGGGTTGAGAGCCTTTGGTTTTCATCGGAGGAGGAGGGGGAGGCACGGACGGGGGGCTACGTCAAGATTGGGAGAAGGAGAACACTAGATGCGGCAGTGGAGACCACAGCATTATGCTCTCAGACAGATCTCGCGGAGAGGAGGTTGTTGATAGACCGACAACCCTGTTCACCAGAGCGCGATCTGTATTTACCATTTGTGACTTCGCCCATTGGGTGCTTATCCTCACAATCCACCAACCACGTGTTTCAATTCGAATGGCTCACCATCTCCTGCGTCCATTGGGTACTCTTCTTCACGAACCACGCCTCCTGCAACATCTGTTACAAGTGCATGCCAGCATTGGGAAAAGGCACGCGAGGTAACAAGTGTCGCCACCAAGAGCAAGAATGAGTCAGATGTCAAGCGATCTGTAGATATCATCGGTCATTTCCGGGTGGAACAGAGTGCGAATGGAGTTCTCGTATCTCCTTCGGACGATATGTGCTTCGCTTTCAGCGTCGATGGCTGCCTACCACAACAGAGCGCTTTGCGAAGATGAGTGTCTACGAAAGCGCGGCTCGCAGGATTGTGTCCGAGTGTTGCGCCTCCGATACATTGTGCAGAATCGGCAACGCAGGGGACATGTGCGGTTTTGCTAGTTACTTCTAGAGATATCTAGAGGAGTACCGAACAAGGAATGCTTGAGCACAGTTGTGTCCAACACTTCGAGCCGCGGCTAAATACGGAAGAACTCGAACTGAGCTACAGATACAAGGGCAAGGGCAGGACAAAAGATGCCATAGACTCAACACCTATCTAAAGGCGCCCTCAGCAGCAAGCATGCACGTACCAGTGCTGCCACCTCTCTCCGTCTCTTGATGTCCTCCGTTAGCAGCGGTGGCGGTGTGGGGGCCTCGGTACACCCCTTGAACATCCTTTCCAGTATCCCGACAAAAGCGGACCGGTTGAGCAAAGACGACCCACGGACCTCCACGTTGTTATCAACAAGAAACTCCTGTCAATGAGGTCGTGTTGAAGGAGTTGGTGTGTCAGCAATAACGACAAAAGCAATTGATCGAGTCCTGCCAATGTATGCAAGCTTCGGCGGGGAAGAGGCTGTTGTGCGAGCGAGCCCTCGGCGCCTTCGGTACCAGGGACAATAACACCACCACACGTGCTTCACCTCGTGGAGTTTCAGTTTGACGAAAGGCGTACCTTCTAGGGCGGGTAGTAGAACTAAACACCCACTACATGAGGACACACAAATCTCACAACCACGGCAAAACGGTGGCGTTGGTTATGTTGACCGATGATAATAGAATACGACCGTCCGAGTTCTGGATCCTTAACCGCCAAGCCGTCAGGCGCAGGTCAATCCTGGAACTCATAACGGCAGGAAACTCGTCGGGATGGTTGTCCCGTGGGAAGCATGTGGAGTACAGCAATTGCACAGCTGAAATGAGATGGCCCGGAATATGCCCTACCCCGCGTGGGAATCCATCCAAGATACGTTGTGAAGACAAAACACGACTTCCATCAGAGAGTACTCCACAACGTTCTGCGTTCTGCGCGCTGTCAATGTTTCGCATATTTGAAGTTGGTGAGAAACATGGGGAGGGAGATCTCCGCACCTGTAACTGCTCGAGAGTCCACGCGGCGAATGGGGACGCCTGCATGTCTTCGCGCAGCTCACCCAGGGCCCCTCTGTAGGCCTGCATTGCGTGGTCGGCTCTGTTGCGACCATGTCGCGCATTCGAAAGCGTCCAACAAACATGAAGGGCAAACTTGTAGTCACTCCAGATAAGCACTGGGACGGCCTGGTTACTAGTTTGACGAGGTTTGGCCGCATCACAACTTCCCCCTTCCGAACCTCTTCTTTATCGTGCATGTGCATATTCTAATTTGTTTTTCCGAATATTTTCCTTCTCAAGAAATAAAACTTTGCAACCTAGTGGTGGTGTGTGTTGTGTTGGGTATTTTTTATTTTTCGTGCTGAGGTGTGGAAAAGAGAGTTTCGTCCTCGACAGACGTTGGGGAGTTTCATCTTCTATGAAGACGTTCTCCACATTACCCGCCCCTTTTTCGAGGCTTCTTCTTGTTTGCTAGGCAAGAGAAGTCTTCTTGGGGTCACCGGAACCCGACCGGCTGGCGGCGAGTAGAACCACCTTTTTCCCAACAAATTTCTGTGCGTGTGTGCGGGTGCACCACTTCCGCCACGCATTGCCAGAAGTTCCGAGTTCGATAGACAGTGCATCGTTTCTTGGCCCACCCACCTTTCTTCTTTTTCCGTACTCCGGAAGAAAATTAGGTGAGCAGCGGGTTTTGAACCCGTGTCTTTTGCAACCAAAAGCAGCCATCTGACATCTCTAGTCGACGCCATTGTGGAAAAGCGGGTTTCGTTCTCGACAGACGTTGGGTAGTTTCAACCTTTATGAAGGTGTTCTCCACATTACCCCCCCCTCTTTCGAGGCTTCTTCTTGTTTGCTAGGCAAGAGAACTCTTCTTGGGACAAACAAGAAGAAGCCTCGAAAAAGGGGGGGGTAATGTGGAGAACACCTTCATAAAGGTTGAAACTCCCCAACGTCTGTCGAGGACGAAACCCTCTTTCTGTCGAGGACGAAACNCCGAGTTCGATAGACAGTGCATCGTTTCTTGGCCCACCCACCTTTCTTCTTTTTCCGTACTCCGGAAGAAAATTAGGTGAGCAGCGGGTTTTGAACCCGTGTCTTTTGCAACCAAAAGCAGCCATCTGACATCTCTAGTCGACGCCATTGTGGAAAAGCGGGTTTCGTTCTCGACAGACGTTGGGTAGTTTCAACCTTTATGAAGGTGTTCTCCACATTACCCCCCCCTCTTTCGAGGCTTCTTCTTGTTTGCTAGGCAAGAGAACTCTTCTTGGGACAAACAAGAAGAAGCCTCGAAAAAGGGGGGGGTAATGTGGAGAACACCTTCATAAAGGTTGAAACTCCCCAACGTCTGTCGAGGACGAAACCCTCTTTCTGTCGAGGACGAAACCCTCTTTTCCACAGAGGGCGCAATATGAAACTGCTGTGGTAGCCCACATACCATGAACGTATAATTGCACCATGACTGCTTTGGCAGGAGGTTCTCCGGAACTACGAGCTGCCACGGTTTCACCCTGGACCCCGCCATCGAGATCAACATTTTACTTGTTGACGTCAATTTTGAGTATGTATCCTGTCACTAGACTCTAGGGTGTACACCTGTGGGTGCATGCTTTCTGGGCGTGCCAGCCGGGGGTCACGCGAATAGGATTAAATCCATGTCCCACCCTGCCTCTCAAAGCTCGGAAACTTTATCTTGGCCGCTTTTTTCGGGCGAATTTCATTGTCTTCACGACCTTCAAGTAGCGCTCCCTACGCAGCAGCGTGTGTCATGGCCACCATATGCTTGGGATAGACTACTAACGATGCATCATCCAAAGATTTTCAAATATTGAAGTGCCCATGTATTTTTACATTGTCGGCCCGCTGATAATAACAGTCGTCATACTGTTGAATTAGCACTGTCCGGTCCCAGTTTGTTCTCGAAATGTGCTTGCTCTCTCATCATGCTTGGTGATGAAATCACCCGGCAAACGAAACACTTGCTGTCTGCCCGTGATCTACTGTGAACCAAGTGGCCTGATTGTAGACAACACGAATACGTCTACTTTCAGCACGCACGCAAAATAAAAAAGCCCTGGTTTTTACCCCCTCCTGTGTGACCCTGGATGGTTGTGTTGTACGAAAAAATACACTGAAAAGTGTAGTACTCTACATACACTGAGGGTATCGTGACGAGAGATGGGGGGACTCTCGCCATAATAGATAGTCTAGGACGAAAACACACAAACAAAAGTAGTGCACTTTGTAGGAGTGCGGTCGATCCGCTAGCTGTTTGTCACAACTAAATGTTGTACGAGCAGTCAAAAATGCTCCACATAACAGCTATTGTGTGCCTCTGTCTCGCGATCGCTCGTACCTGAATGGATTCACAAGATAGTAGTCAGCGTGATGTATCAACGACATCATGTTTCGTCTACGGATCCAAGTTTGCTTGTTTTGCGTCACTGCCGCAGTCGTGCGTTTCACTGTCACCCCATAGACTAGAAAAGACCGTGTACAACACGGACACGGCAACCACCACGGGGGTAAGAGAGGGGTACAGCAGGCGAACGAGACGGCGAGGAAACGCAGAAAACGCGAAGAGGCGGACCGAGTGGCGCGAAACACCGTGCCGAAATAAACCTCTTGCTTGACTTATCCCCCTCCCCCCACCCCCCGGCGATGCACCATTGCACCAACCCCCCGCGAGCGATGACGTGCATGGGCTGGCTCGAATGGCCCGCTTTGTCTCGTGTTGTTTGGTGTTGTTCTGTTTGCTTGTTTGTTGTTTGTCGCTACGGCGTGTGTCTTTCTCTGTGTGTCTTTCTCTTTCCCTTTGCTTCTCTCCATCTGCTCTCTTCCTTTCTTTTTCTTTTACTTGTTCTTGTTCTTTCTACTTTTTCTATCTTTTTCCAATCTAGAGTTACCTCGCATAGAGTGCAGAGAGGCGAGCGGAGTGGCCTAGACTATCTGTCTTTGACTTTTATTGGCTTGCGGACCCTTCGGGTCCATTTTGTTTTCGTATACCTTTTTGGGGTGAGTTAGTCTGTGACCACGGGAATCGACCCCGTCAAGTGTGAGACTAGTACGGACAGAAGAAGGTACTAGGCAGAGAGAACGGAACGGTTTCTAGTGTGAAGACAACAACAACAACAACAACAACAACAACAACAACAACAACAACAACAACAACAACAACAACAACAACAACAGGTTCCTATACACGAAGGTATGTACTTGGTCCAGGAACCTATAGTCTACACAGCCTTCTTTATAGTCTATCGAAGGGTTGACAGTGAAACGCACGATGGTGGCAGTGACGTACAACAAACTTGGATCCGCAGACGACGCAGGATGTCGTCGATATGCATACGGCACGCCGTGCATCTTGTAAATTAATCCAGCGCTCGTTTGAGCCTTTCTTGAATGTATTTTAGTCTACTGGTGTAGTCTACTTGGTACTGAAAGCGTTTCTTCCGAGCGGGTCGGTACTTGAAGGAACCGCCCACGTTGGCGGGTCCCATCAAAATCCATGTTGCTACTTGTAGTTGCTTTTAGTTATAGCATCTAAGTGCATGCCACACAATTGATCGCACCCGCTCTCTATTGGGTATAGTCTATACTGCTGTACAGAGTTCAATTAGTTCCGGAGTTCTGGAAGCTATAGCAAGTTTTACAGCACGTATGGACTGCAGTAAACAGAACTTAGTCCTACAGTGCTGTACATGACCCGCGGACATGCGAATTGTATGCAATCCCTTCATGTTGTATGTATTGGGGCTTTACTGCTTGGGATTTTGACTGGATCTGATCAGATGTACATGCCACGGGTGACTGCCCTGCTGTCGTCAAAACGAGAAGATCGCGTGATTCGTCCGAAACACATCGGGATGGTGCCCGGCAATGCTGCCTAATGTCAATGAACTCGCCTACGACGTGCTGTGGCCTGCATGGCTCTCAGGTGGAAACTCGGATCACCACGCTCTGAGGACGAAGCGCCGCTGCTGCGGCGGCTGCTGCTGCTGTGGGTGCTGCTGCGGCGGTTGCTGCCGCGGATACTGCTGTCGGTCCTCTCCGGTCCATCTCCTTTCTTCGAGTCACCCCTCTTGAACATAATGATAGACGCCGCGTGACACTGTAGCAGGCTCGACCAGCACGCCGATCCTTGGAGAACCACGCCTTTGGCCGAAGACGGCTCACGTGGCCCGGCTTCTGCTGTAAGAAACTCAACTTGTGGGAACCGGTGGATGTAAAGATTGCAAAAGCTTGCCGTCGACGTATCGAATCGAAGCAGAGATAATAGCCGTTACACCAAAGCCTTCGCAAGATTCGAAACCCTCGGATGCGGGGGGGGGGGTAGTGGGGCTCCGTGCCAACGGTTGCAAATACCGAGAGGCTGAGAGGGAGAAAGAGACAGCATTGCTGGCACACTGCACCACGCAGCAGGCGATAGGGGGAGACCACCAGGCACAGCAGGCGGCTGGAGGGCGGTACGCGCTACATTATCTTTCTGTGGTCTGACTGGCGGGTCACTGGGAATGCACCGCGCAGCGCGTACAGCAGTAGTGGCATCGGGTATCAGTAGACGCAGCAGCCGGGTCGTCGTCAGCAGCAGCAGCGGGCAGGCTTCAACGGCGAACATGGTGGTGAGCGCACGAGACAACAGCAGTCAGTAGTGGCGACATGGCGACACAGACATTGCACCGGCTTTTGCTGCACGCAACAATGCCGGGGCTCTTGCTGCATGCAGGACGCAGCGGTAGCCGCGGCTCTGCTACATGTACAGAGTAGTGGTGGATAGAGTACGGTTGTCACAACCATACCGTAATGCTGCTGCTGTGTAGTTTACCGCATGAACCTCTGCTGGTAAGATGACAACTTTGCTCTTCTCTCCTTTAGAACTACAACTGTAGACGGTAGTACAGCAGTAGACTACCGGCTGCAGCATATGCTACCTGCTGTGTCTACGCGTGGCATTTGTCGAGCACCCCATTCTGCCTGTGTGCCCAATGTCAAAAATGCACGGCAGATCACACGTTCAGTGCAGACCATATCATTAATCGGACGAAACGCGTGGGATTTTTCCCTCTGGCGTACATATTCTAGCCATGACGGAGGAATCACTCCACATCGGCGGTTGATTTGGTAGCAGATGTACACATGGATACATGCTCCCGCCATATGTCGGGAACAGTGCTGAACCATGCTCCTGCTTTCGTTCCCCTCCCGAGCCGCGGCGTTCGTTGTACAGTCTAGCTATTCTCGCAGACACGCAGAGTTGTTGTTTACCTTCGGCCGAACACATGCTACGCCAGGCCATGTTTCCCAACAGCAAGTATGCACCAACTCGCGAACATGACCAATCCGATGGTTTGTGAATTTTAGCGCTTGGGCTGCTGTCACCGCGGCCACGCTTGGGTGTCCTCTCGTTCGGATTCACTCGAACTCACTGGGTTACCGGACGTGTTCGGCCAAAGAAGCGCGTGTGAATTCTCACCCCAACCGGCTTAAACATAATCAGGTAGACCCTCCGACACACAAGGCTGTTGTTGGCCTTGAAGGGAACCGTTGAAGACGTGAATGGTTGAGATTGCGCGGTTGCTGGGAGGAGGCACCCGCCCGCCCCCGCTCCCGCGTGCTCCGGCGCGCTTGGCGCCCTTATTCTTCCTGGGTTCCTCCGGCTGGTAGGAGCCCAGGACCAGCAAGGGCGCCAAGGGTGCCGGAGCGCGCGGGAGCGGGAGCGGGCGGGTGCCTCCTCCCATCAACCGTGCTCTCTCAGCCGTTCACGTCTTCATCGATGCCTGTCAAGGCCCACAAATGCCTTCTCAGCCTGTGCCGGGAGGACCTACATGTTTGACAAATGCAAAGCTGCGGCGGCGGGCAGAAATGGCCACCACAAGTATGAGGCGTGTGTGCGTGCGCCATCTGCTCCCAATGTGCCGGCGCGCTGGCCACCGTTCACACTGCACGTGTCGCCGGCGCGTCAGGCGGCCAGATAAAGCCTTTTAACGACCTGCCTCGATCGGCCTCGCCCCCCCCCCCCCCCCCCCCCCCCCCCCCCCCCCCCCCCCCCCCCCCCCCCCCCCCCCCCCCCCCCCCCCCCCCCCCCCCCC